TTCTTTATAAATCTTTTTTTTCATTTTGATGAACACATATCACCTATCTATAAGCATTTTTTTTAATCTATCACATATTGCCACTAATGATTATATCACAGTCACTATTTCCCCAACTGATATTCTCTTGATGTCTCGAATTGCAACCCTTTTGCCCATTCCCCATAGCCAAACGCCACATGGCTGAAAAACTATAGGAATTGGAATCTAGCTTGTGGATACCTGGATGGCAACAGCATGCGGAAGCTGTAGTACCCTTTTACAATCCACCCTAATACAGTATATTATAAAGTTAAGGGTAGTTACTGCAAATGATTTTTAAGTAAGCCCAATTACGTATCTTTTAGGACAGGGGTCCCCAACCCCCGGTCCGTGGACCAGTACTGGGTTGTGGCATGCCAGCAACCGGTCCGCACAAACAAGCAAAGCCCCATCTATGGGATGCAGACAAATACAAAATCACGCACTCTCCTGTCCGTGGAAAAACCTTTCTCCATGAAACCGGTCCCTGGTGCCCAAAAGATTGGGGACCTCTGCTCTAGAACATGGTTGCCCAAACCTTTGGCTTGCTGGGCTGCATTGAATGAGGAATTGTCTTCAGCTACATATTTATTTATGGAAGAAAATTTATACGGCCGCCCAACTCACTCTCAGTGACTCCGGGCACCTTACAAAAATAAAATGTACAATATAGTTAATTTATATAAAAAAAACAAACTTCCTTGATTTTTTTTTATATTTATTACTTTATGGGGTGACATTACTAGCTATCCAGGGCTGCATGCAATCTGTGGATTGGACATGCCTGCTGTAGAATGCATTGGCCAAAGCATTTTTGTGCTAAGAATCAGTTCTAACTTAAATAATAATAATAAAAAAATAACATTTAGCTAGTAGAAAAACAAATGATCTCTCCATAAAGACAGGCTTGATTTTTGATTCAAAGTTGTTCTTAAATTATGTATGCTCATAAATACAGAACAATAATAGAGTTAGAATGGACCGTGGAGGTCTTTTAATCCAACCCTTTGGTTGAGCAGGAAACCCTATACCATTTCAGACAAATGGCTGTCCAGTCTCTTCTTAAAAACTTCCAGTGTTGGAGCACCCACAACTTCTGGAGGCAGGTTGTTCCACTGGTTAATTGTTCTGTCAGGAAGTTTCTCCTTAGTTCTAGGTTGCTTTTCTCCTTGATTAGTTTCCCTCCATTGCTTCCTGGCCTGCCCTCAGGTGCTTTGGAGAATAGCTTCACTCCCTCTTCTTTGTGGCAGTCCCTGAGATACTGGAACACTGCTATCATGTAATCTCTCATCTTTCTTTTCATTAGACTAGACATACCCAATTCAGCAACCGTTCCTTATATGTTTTAGCCTCCAGTCCCCTGATCATCTTTGTTGCTCTTCTCTACACTCTTTCCAGACTCTCAAAATCTTTTTTATATTGTGGTGACTCATAATAAATAGCAGTTTTGGTGTCTCTTCCCAACTTACATAAAGAAAGGGTCCCACAAATTAGTTTCCTGAAGATGGCCAAAAGTGGATACTCAGTGCAGTGCTCCCAATGAACTGAGCAGAAAGGTCTTTGTGAAACTGAGATCAACCTGAGGCCAGGTAAATCCACAGAACCATTAATGTATCTTTTAACACTGGAAATGCAGAATGAAGAAAATCAGCTACAAATTCCGTAGCCTCCATTATGTGCATTTTCAGGGCAGTTAAAATTGTTTTGGCACACTCTTGACCACAAAAACATGATGTAGCGATATGTGGGCCTCAAGCACAGTCCTGGGCAAAGAGATTGGTACTCTTGAAGAAGCATAAATCAGCTCTGCAAGCAGAAAAGGAGAGAGAAAAGAACTTGCAAAGGCTTATTAGCATAAGCAACTTTACAACTGAATAGGAGTGATAAATGAGAATAAATATGATTAACATCTCCTCTCCGTGGCAAATTCTGAAACTGCAGTTACATATTCTACAACCCCTCATCATTCATCAAATACTATACCTTTAGCAAAAGTATTAGGAATGTGTTTAGTATTTTAAGGAACCCATCTGAGCATTCCAATATTAATATTTTGGAAATAAAGCCAACTAAGATCTGCAAAGTGATTGCAGAATTGTCTTTTGGGGAGATTACCTAAAGTAGGAGAGATGCAAGGACACACAATTGTATTTGGAGCACCAAGGGGAACACTACACGGAGTGCACCTAGGAATTATTGCAATGCTGTATATATGTCCAAAGTCGTTCCAATTATTATTATTATTTATTTCTAGCACATGAATTTTGTTTGCAGTGATTTCTTAAAAGAAGTTAATGATTGGGAAAACATCAATAATTTCACTGCACTGCAACTAAAATAATTGTGCTTTGTAGGTCTTCAGACTTGTGTCAACATACAGCACAGTCTTTTTTTAAAAAAAAAGTTAGATTGGATATGGTTAAAGAGCAACAGATAACTAATCTATCAAAGTTGGTTTAAAAAAATAACTAAGAAGATTAGTCAAATCTACCAAGTCAGGAATCAACAAACTAAACATAACGCGCTAGTACATAACTATTGTCCTATGTATGGGTTCTCTTTCAGCCTACACTGGAAATAAGTTTGAGATGACATACTCAAAGCTGGCTCTCTCATGAAAGGGTTAATGTGTGCAAGATTAATTCTGCATAGGCTGAGTATTGGTGCAAACAAGATTTTGAAGCAGCAGCCAGAAGGGTAGTGTAAATCCACTCAAATTACTACCTCAACTTGCTAGTGTTGGTGTAACTGATCACTTTGCAAAGGTTAGTACAAAAAAACCTTGCAAAAATCAAGAGAGAGACATCTGATAGCCTACCTCAATTTTTTCATGGCAGGTCTCTCTGGAATCTTTAAAGCAAAGGTTTTCTACACCCCATTCTCTCTTAAGTAATGCCATCCCACCTCGATTTTCCAACTGGGACTCCCCAACTCACAAGACTTCGAAAATATCAACGCTTATTTCAAATCACCTCCACTTGGTTTTAATTGTGTAGTGCAATCCCACACAAGTCGGAGAATTACACGGAGCAGACTCCTCAATAAGGGTGTACAGGACTGTAAAGATATACGTTTGAATATACACTGGCTATTGTATTTTTTAAAAAGCGTTTTTACCAGACCTCTATGCACTTTCTATTTGAAAATATCGCAAAATCCAGCTGTATCTAAAAGCTGCACATTTTATCTCGGGAGTGTGTGGCAACGAAACGAAGGGGACGCGAAGCTTAGTAGACCCGGACGGGTTGAAAGGGCAGGATGGAGCTACGAAATCCCCACGGTTTTCTTGCATTTTTCCGTGTAAGGTGGTGGGTGTGTTCCTTAAACAAGTTCTCCTCGTTTTCAGATCGCCGGGCAACAGCCCACCGGTGCGATTCAAGGAGGCGCGGATTTGACTCCTCAAACACTTCACCCCTACTTCTCCCTCGGAGTCAATCAATGGAATTATAACTTAAAAGCGGAGCCGGAGCGCGGAAGAACGCAAACTTCCACCTCCGGACTCGAAATGGCTTGCGGGATTTGGGGAAAGGAGCGTCAAAGGAACACGCATCTCGAGATTGAGCTGGGAACTTCACGCCTAGCTTAAAAATACAGCATTTCTGAATGGAGGAGGAGGAGGGAGGGAGAGAGAGAAAGACAGAGAGAGAAAGAGAGAGGGGGGGAAAGAAGGGGAAAGACAGAGAGGGAGGGAGAGGAAAAGAGGGAGAAGAGAAAGAGACAGAGAGGGTGGAGAGGGAAAGAGGGAGAAAGAGAGACAGAGAGGGAGAGGGAAAGAGGGAGAGAAGGAGAAAGACAGAGGGAGAAGGAGAGAGGGAGAAAAAGAGAGAGGGTGGAGAGGGAAAGAGGGAGAAAGAGACAGAGAGGGAGAGGGAAAGAGGGAGAGAAGGAGAAAGAGAGGGAGAAGGAGAGAGGGAGAAAAAGAGAGAGGGTGGAGAGGGAAAGAGGGGGAGAGGAGAAAGAGGGAGAGGGAAAGAGGGAGAGGGAAAGAGGGAGAGAAGGAGAAAGACAGGGAGGGGGAAAGAAGGAGAGGGAGAGAAAGAGACAGAGAGGGTGGAGAGGAAAAGAGGGGGAGGGAAAGAGGGAGAGGGAAAGAGGGAGAGAAGGAGAAAGAGAGGGAGAAGGAGAGAGGGAGAAAAAGAGAGAGGGTGGAGAGGGAAAGAGGGGGAGAGGAGAAAGAGGGAGAGGGAAAGAGAGAGAGGGAGAGGGAAAGAGGGAGAGAAGGAGAAAGACAGGGAGGGGGAAAGAAGGAGAGGGAGAGAAAGAGACAGAGAGGGTGGAGAGGGAAAGAGGGGGAGGGAAAGAGGGAGAGGGAAAGAGGGAGAGAAGGAGAAAGACAGAGGGAGAAGGGGAGAGGGAGAGAAAGAGACAGAGAGGGTGGAGAGGGAAAGAGGGAGAGGGAAAGAGGGAGAGAAGGAGAAAGACGAAGGGGGGGAGAGACAGAGAGGGTGAAGAGGGAAAGAGGGGGAGACAGAGGGAGAGGGAAAGAGAGGGAGAGGGAAAGAGGGAAAGAAGGAGAAAGACGAAGGAGGGGGGAGAGAGAAAGAAAGAGGAGAGAGAGAGAGAATGAACCAAATCAGCTACCTCAATGCGAATCCACCAAACACGGGAGAACTGACCGATCTCCACCCCAACTTGCGCGGAAATTCCCCGCTTTCCCATGCTCCCTGCACACGCCTTTCTGCCCTTCGCATCTACCTTCCGCCACTTCCCGCTTCCCTGCCTAATCTGAGGCGGGGGTGGGTGGCGGCGGTGAGGGAAGGCTTATTGCGTTTCCACCGCTCCTCGAGGCTTACTCTCCCCGGGGCCACCTTCCAAAGGAGAAGCGCAAAAGCCCGAGGGCGCGCCTGCAGGCTCCTGCGCGGCACTGCGCTCGCCTGCCTGCCTGCCTGCTCGGCGCTTTCCAGGTAGCGCCGCCAGCGAGTTCCTGCGTTATCAGCCCGCCGGAGAAGAAGGCGACGAAGAAGAAGCCCGGTGCCCACCTGTGGATGCGCCCAGAAGCGCCAGCAGAGCCAGGCTAAGCGCCCCGCGGCCTCCCATAGCGGGCTGTCCCGGCGTCCGAGCGGCGACTCCCGCCTCCAGCCTTGACCCTTTCAGGCGAAGCCTCCCGGCTCAACAGTAAAGGGGGCGAGCCGCACGCGCGCTTCTAACGCCGCGCGCGAAGAGTTCCACTCCCGCCACCTTCTCCTCCTTTCCCCCCCCCCGCCCGTCTCCTCCGGCCACGCCCCTGCCCCTCCCTCTCCTGCAGCCCACTGGCTCCGGCGGGCAAGATTCACGCTTCCCAACGCCGGGAGGGGGGCGAGGGGGGGGGCTTTGTGTGTGTGTGTGTGTGTGTGTGTGTGTGTGTCGGAGTGCGAGCGGGGTGGGGTGCAAGGCAGGAGGGGGCGGGGTTACCGGTAACCTGGAGGTGCCGCTCGGAAGCTGCGATTGTCTGGAGTGGTTTTGAGCGAGCTTCCAGGGTTTGTTTTCTCCGTGCGAGTAATGTGGGGGGCGGAGGGAACCGACCCGGCCCTAGAAATAAAAGTTTATTTACTAGTTGTTGTTGTATTTTTTAAATGGGGAGGTCGAAAGAACCATCCCGTCCCAGTGCTTCTACAGGTAGTCCTCCACTTGCAGGAGAAGAGAAGTGGGGAGAAAGTGGTGAAGGAAAGAGGAGAGGAAGAAGAAGGGAAGGGAAGAAAGGGAGAAAGAAGGTAGAGAAGAAGGAGTGGGGATACAGTGAAAGGGGAACTGGGCGAGCGACACCAAAAGTCATGTGTATGTATTTATTTCATTTTATTAAAAGTATCTTATGTATGAATGTAAAAAGAATGTATCTTAACATCTGATAAATATCATATTTTATTAAAAGTATCTTATATATGAATGTAAAAAGAATGTATGTTAACATCTGATAAATATCACATGTTATTAAAAGTATCTTATATAAATGTAAAAAGAATGTTAATATCTGATAAATATCACGGTATATGTATGGGGGAGAGTTTGGAAAAATAAAAAATTAATCCTAAAAAAAAAAGGTAGCCCTCCACTTGCAACGCTTCATTGAGTGGCCGTTGGAACTCATCACCGCTGCGAAAAATATGACTGGTGACCCTTTTTCACACTGAGGACCCTGGCAGGATTTCCACCACCCCCCACACAGTCATGGGATTTACTTGCACAAAGCTGGATGCTCTGCAAAATGTATGGGCTCCACACGTTATTGGCAAACTGACATGTGCGGTCTTACGCATGGGTCATTTTTCAACAAAAGGCTGTTATACAGTACAACTAGTCCTCGGCTAACAACCACCATTGAACCCCATATTTCTGTTGCTAAGTGAGACATTTAAGTGAGTTTTGCCCCCTTTTACAACCTTTCTTAGCAAAGTTGTTAAGGGAATCACTGCAGTTGTTAAATTAGGAACACAGCCATTAAGCGAATCCCGTTTCCTCACGGCCTTTGCTTGGCAGAGGATCGCAAAAGGGGATCACGTGACGGGGGGGGTTCTGCAACCGTCATACATGTGAGTCAGTTGTCACAAGATCTGAGTGTGTTTTTCTCTTTGCCAAAGAAATGCAAGCAAGACCAACATTTGACCTCACCTTCTCCCCCCAGGCAATCTGAGCAAGGAAACATCAAGGCAAAACAAGAGAATCCATAGCTCTGTTTGTAGGATCTTTGCCAGTGATCACGTTAGACCTTGTTTATGGAAATAGCCTGTATGGGTAGGATTCACCCAACTTGAATTGCACTGACTTAACCCTGAGTGTGGAAATCCAGTTTAAGACTATATAAGATAAGATAGAGATATTGTATTTGGACATTTCTTGGATAGTGTTGTGTGTTCTCCCAGAAATGAGGAGGTGATAAGCCGCCTGGGAAAGCCAAGGGAAATCATCAAAACAATTAAAAAACGAAAATTAGAATATTTGGGACACGTGATGCGACACCCAGAAAAATACGGCATACTCCATTTAATCCTCCAGGGAAAGATTGAAGGCAAACGAGGTCCAGGCAGAAGAAGAACATCGTGGCTTCAAAATCTAAGGGACTGGTTTGGACAAAAGTCAGCAGCACTTTTTCGTGCGGCTGCTGATAAAAACAGGATCACCAACATGATTGCCAACGTCCGATAACGGATATGGCAGAAGAAGAAGAAGAAGAAGAAGAAGAAGAGGAAGAGGAAGAAGAAGAAGAAGAAGAAGAAGAAGAAGAAGAAGAAGAAGAAGAAGAAGAAGAAGAAGAAGAAGAAGAAGAAGAAGAAGAAGAAGAAGAAGAAGATAACCTTTATTGTCATTTTTGTACTGTGGGCACAACGGCACACATCAAAAATGAAATTTAGTTGCCCGCTCTCAAAGTGAAACATGTACATGACACGCCCTAAAAACATACTATATACAACATATGTATAGGCCCACACCTCTACATATACAGTACATAACAAATAAATATTAAATACTGTCCATCTTGAATTTATAACGGAAGGAGCAAGCTTGAGAGTTCACAAGGTTAATGCTGTATGGAATGAAACTCTGGCTGAATCTGGATGTTCTGCTATGGATACCATGGAGCCTCCTCCCAGAAGGTAACAAGGAAAACAGGTCATGAAGAGGATGTGTAGTGTCCCAGATATGGACCCTGCTCAAGCAACGCTTCTGTGCTACGTCCTGGATAGGAGGGAGGGGACTGCCAATGATCTTTCAGCCTCCTCACCACTCTCTGCACCGCCTTCCTGTCTGAAGCAGGAATGCTTCCAAACCAGACGGTGATGCTGTATGACAGGATGCTCTTGATCGTCCCTCTGTAGAAAGTGGTCAGGACAGGGGAAGGAAGTTGTGCTTTTCTCATGCGATGCAGAAAATGCAGGCACTGCTGTGCCCGCTTTACCAGTGTCTCACTGTTGAGCAACCAAGCCAGCCTACTCGTTAGCTGCACACCCAGGAATTTGATGCTGGTAACCATCTCCACAGGTGAATCATTTATGCACAGAGATGTGTGGCTGTGCTTGCCTTTTCTGAAATCAACAATGATCTCTTTGGTTTTTCCAGTATTTAAAACTAGGCTGTTTTCCTTACACCAGTTCACCAATCCCTCAACCTCCTTACAGTAAGCTTCCATCTTGTCATGAATAAGGCCCACTGTTGTTGTATCATCTGCGAACTTCACAATATGGTTGGTGGCAAACCTAGCACAAAGTCATGGGTCAACAGGATAAACAGCAGCGGACTTAAGACGCAGCCTTGAGGAGAACCTGTGCTCAAGGAAATGGTATTAGAAGTATTTGTTCCAACTCACATATATTGGGGCCTTTACTTATAATAATCTGAAGTGCTTACTAATAGAAATCAGTGTAGACAATTAAGGCTTATTGTATACCTAAACATGGTTTACTTCATCGTATCCTAATGTAATTTCATAATATCCATCATCATTTCAATGTAGACATTTAGGCTACACTTTCATCATCCTTGAGTTCCAAGCTAGAACTAGTAGCAGCTATACATCCAAAATAAATAGTGAGAAGTAGGTTGGAGAGAGTGTGACAGAAGCAGCCAAGATTAAACCTTTTTACTATTACTGAGTTTTAAAAGTTAGAGATTTGTTTGGTAAATAAGCAGCATGCTTTTACATGTACCAGTCCTTTGATTTTATCTATGATTTTATCCTTGGTTTTTTGTTTTGTTTTTTTGCCTCCCTAACTGTTCTATACAGAAAGAAGTCGGTCCAGCTGACTTAAGCATTAGAGAGTTGCAGCCATAATCAATTATAATGTAGTTTTCAAACTGTATGTCTAGGAACACTAGAGGGAATATGACATGTTATCTGACATGATTGTGGGTCTTCCTTTGCTTTCAGTAAAAAGAGGCCCAACACCACCACATCAAACTGATGTACCACGTGATTGCAGACTAGGGTGGGCAATCTAAGCCCCTGGGCCTAATTTTATATGCTGTCAGCGTGTGAATGGTTCATTTTTCTAACAAGAACAATCTGTCATTCCCTCTGAAAGAAACGGAGAAGAAGGAATGAGAAAACAGATGGCCCAACACAGGAAGAGGTGGGCCACCTTTGTTCTGTGGATAAGTGCAAGCCTTCAGGCATAATCTTTTTGGGGGGTGTCACATAATAGACAAACCTGAAACCGGATCCACAAAGTGGATGAGAAATTTATTATCTGTCTGACATATTCCTTTTCCTCTTTCTAACATCCTCTTTTCAGAGAGATGTGGCTTCCTGAAAGGTGTTTCAAAATTGTATCAAGGAGGGCCACGTGAAGCCAACTTGAGAACGTCTTATAGCCTTCTCTTGGCATATATTTTTTTTATCCCTCAAACTGTGAGATGTGCCAAGATTTTTGCACCATTCCAGTTTTTGGTTTTTTTTTTTTAGGGAATGAGGGTTCACATTTGTAATGTTAGGAATCAGAACTCAAGGCTGAAGGACGAAGTAATATTGGTTCTTCCACATTATTCCAAAGTAACGTTGCTCATTCCAAACATGGAGCGTTGGAAGCATTGGGAAGACAGCCGTGACTCCCTCAGTTAAAATGCGACAGCCGTTCTATGGGGTCTCAGTAGGGCATGGATAAACACCTGGAATGCTAAATATGTACTGCTGCCAGGGTGTTTATGGGGAAAAAAAAAAGAATTGAGTGGGCTTGTCACCTGATTTTACAGCCACAATATTTGGTAATGCTGTGCATTCAACTTGACAGGTCAGCTCTGAGTAGAGAGTAGTAGTGAGTTAAGTAATTGAGTTAAGTAGTGAGTACTAGTTAAGTGAGTAGGGTCACTTAAGGCCACGAAGAGCAAGGTAAATCATACCAATCGGAAATCCACGTTAAGTAAGCCATTTAATAGAAACTGTAAGTTTACACAAATATTGTTCATTTGTTTGTTTGTTCGTTCATTCATTTGTTCGTTCGTTCATTCATTAGACTGGAAGATTTCTCACCTTAGAATTTTCTTCCCATTCCTTAATATATTGTATATAGAGAGAATCCCAAATTAAGTAAATACAGCTGGAAGAGTTGGGGGAACGAGAAACCTCACACAAGCCCAATTTATTTTTGTCCCAAATGTGCTTTTCCAAAGGGAACAGGACTTCCTTTGTCCAGAGAAAAACAAAAAAAGTCCAGGTGCAACTATGACCTGGATAGACTGAGGATCTCCATAGACATCCAACTTGTTTTGAT